CCCAGTGCTCCCAGTAACACCCAGTGCTCCCAGTAACACCCAGTAACACCCAGTAACACCCAGTGCTCCCAGTTCCCAGTCCATCCCAGTGTTCCCAGTTCAATGCTCACCCTGCCGGGTCCCAGGCGCTGTCCGGAGCAGAGGTCAGGGGTCACCGCTGTCCCCGCTGTCCCCTCCGTCCCCTCCAGGCTCAGGGTGACCCTGCCCAGGGTGCCCCCCCCCCACTGCGGCCCCATGCGGACCCCCAGGAGGTACCGAGCCCCTCCCCCCACCGGCATCCCGGGGTCACCTGGGGTCAAAGGTCACTGAGGGGTCACTCAGGGTCACTCAGGGTCCCTCAGGGTCACTCAGGGTCCCTCAGGGTCACTCAGGGTCCCTCAGGGTCACTCAGGGTCCCTCAGGGTCACTCAGGGTCCCTCAGGGTCACTCAGGGTCCCTCAGGGTCACTCAGGGTCCCTCAGGGTCACTCAGGGTCCCTCAGGGTCACTCAGGGTCCCTCAGGGTCACTCAGGGTCCCTCAGGGTCACTCAGGGTCCCTCAGGGTCACTCAGGGTCCCTCAGGGTCACTCAGGGTCCCTCAGGGTCACTCAGGGTCCCTCAGGGTCACTCAGGGTCCCTCAGGGTCACTCAGGGTCCCTCAGGGTCACTCAGGGTCCCTCAGGGTCACTCAGGGTCCCTCAGGGTCACTCAGGGTCCCTCAGGGTCACTCAGGGTCCCTCAGGGTCACTCAGGGTCCCTCAGGGTCACTCAGGGTCCCTCAGGGTCACTCAGGGTCCCTCAGGGTCACTCAGGGTCCCTCAGGGTCACTCAGGGTCCCTCAGGGTCACTCAGGGTCCCTCAGGGTCACTCAGGGTCCCTCAGGGTCACTCAGGGTCCCTCAGGGTCACTCAGGGTCCCTCAGGGTCACTCAGGGTCCCTCAGGGTCACTCAGGGTCCCTCAGGGTCACTCAGGGTCCCTCAGGGTCACTCAGGGTCCCTCAGGGTCACTCAGGGTCCCTCAGGGTCACTCAGGGTCCCTCAGGGTCACTCAGGGTCCCTCAGGGTCACTCAGGGTCCCTCAGGGTCACTCAGGGTCCCTCAGGGTCACTCAGGGTCCCTCAGGGTCACTCAGGGTCCCTCAGGGTCACTCAGGGTCCCTCAGGGTCACTCAGGGTCCCTCAGGGTCACTCAGGGTCCCTCAGGGTCACTCAGGGTCCCTCAGGGTCACTCAGGGTCCCTCAGGGTCACTCAGGGTCCCTCAGGGTCACTCAGGGTCCCTCAGGGTCACTCAGGGTCCCTCAGGGTCACTCAGGGTCCCTCAGGGTCACTCAGGGTCCCTCAGGGTCACTCAGGGTCCCTCAGGGTCACTCAGGGTCCCTCAGGGTCACTCAGGGTCCCTCAGGGTCACTCAGGGTCCCTCAGGGTCACTCAGGGGTCACTCAGAGGTCCCTGGGGGCTTGCAGGGGCTTGAGGGGGGCTTTGGTGGCCTTGGGGTCTCTTGGGGGGTCCTTGGGAGGGTCTGGGGGGGTTTTGGGTGTCCCTGGGGGGTCCCTGGGGGGTTTGGGGGGGTTTGGGGGTCCCTGGGAGTCCCTGGGAGGGTCCCTGGGGGGTTTTGGGGTCCTTGGGTGTTTTTGGGTGTCCCTGGGGGGTCCCTGGGGGGTTTTGGGGGCGTTTTGGGGGTCCTGGGTTTTTCTGGGGGGGTTTTGGGGGTCCCGAGGGGGCCCCTGGGGGGGGTTTGGGGGTCCCTGGGGGTTCCTGGGGGGTCCCGGGGGGTTTTGGGGGTCCCTGGGGGTTCCTGGGGGTCTCCCAGTCCTGGGGGGTCCCGCGGGGTCCTCGGGGGTCTCTCGGTGCTGCTGCGGCTGCCCCGGCGCTCCCAGTGCTCCCAGTGCTCCCAGTGCTCCCAGTGCTCCCAGTGCTCCCAGTCCCGCCCAGTTCCACCCACTTCCCACCCAGTTCTACCCTAGTTCCCTCCCAGTTCCCTCCCAGTTCCCTCCCAGTTCCTCCCAGTTCTGCCCTAGTTCCATCCCAGTTCCTCCCAGTCCCTCCCAGTTCCATCCCAGTCCCTCCCAGTCCCTCCCAGTTCCCTCCCAGTTCCCTCCCAGTTCCATCCCAGACTGGGCCCAGTCAGACCAGTTCCAGCCCCACCGGCCTCATCCACCCCCACACCAGTTAAACCAGTTCTGCCCCAGTTCCGCCCCAGTCAAACCCAGTTTCATCCCAGTTCAGCCCAGTTTGGCCACTGGGGCTGGGCTTTATCCCAGTTCTTCCCAGTTAACCCCAGTTCATCCCAGTTAACCCCAGTTCTTCCCAGTTAACCCCAGTTCATCCCAGTTCACCCCAGTTCTTCCCAGTTAACCCCAGTTCATCCCAGTTAACCCCAGTTCTTCCCAGTTAACCCCAGTCCATCCCAGTTCATCCCAGTTAACCCCAGTTCATCCCAGTTTATCCCAGTTCTTCCCAGTTAACCCCAGTTCATCCCAGTTAACCCCAGTTCTTCCCAGTTAACCCCAGTTCATCCCAGTTAACCCCAGTTCTTCCCAGTTAACCCCAGTCCATCCCAGTTCATCCCAGTTGCACCACTGGGGTTGGCCTTTGCCCCAGTTCCATTCCAGTCCTGTCCTGGTTCCCTCCCAGTTAATCCCAGTTTGGCCACTGGAGCTGGGTTCTATCCCAGTTCATCCCAGTTAACCCCAGTTCGTCCCAGTTAACCCCAGTTCGTCCCAGTTAACCCCAGTTCATCCCAGTTCACCCAGTGAGGATGGGCTCTACCCCAGTTCCATCCCAGTTCACCCCAGTTCATCCCAGTTCACCCCAGTTCATCCCAGTTGTGACACTGGGCCTGGCCTTTGCCCCAGTTCCATTCCAGTTCCCTCCCAGTTCCTCCCAGTTAATCCCAGTTCATCCCAGTTGTGCCACCGTGTCTGGACCCTGCCCCAGTTTCATCCCAGTTTCATCCCAGTTCATCCCAGTTCACCCACTGGGGCTGGGTTCCATCCCAGTCCCATCCCAGTTAACCCCAGTTCATCCCAGTTAACCCCAGTTCATCCCAGTTCATCCCAGTTAACCCCAGTCCATCCCAGTTCATCCCAGTTCATCCCAGTTCACCCACTGGGGCTGGGTTCCATCCCAGTCCCATCCCAGTTAACCCCAGTTCATCCCAGTTAACCCCAGTTCGTCCCAGTTCACCCAGTGAGGGTGGGCTCTACCCCAGTTCATCCCAGTTCATCCCAGTTCATCCCAGTTACACCACTGGGCCTGGCCTTTGCCCCAGTTGCATTCCAGTTCCCTCCCAGTTCCCTCCCAGTTCCCTCCCAGTTAACCCCAGTTCCATTCCAGTTCCCTCCCAGTCCATCCCAGTTAACCCCAGTTCATTCCAGTTCCCTCCCATTCCCTCCCAGTTAACCCCAGTTCCATTCCAGTTCCCTCCCAGTCCATCCCAGTTAACCCCAGTTCATTCCAGTTCCCTCCCAGTCCATCCCAGTTAACCCCAGTTCCATTCCAGTTCCCTCCCAGTCCATCCCAGTTAACCCCAGTTCCATTCCAGTTCCCTCCCAGTTCCCTCCCAGTTCATCCCAGTTCATCCCAGTTGCGCCACCGTGCCAGTGCCCTGCCCCAGTTTCATCCCAGTTTCATCCCAGTTTGGCCACTGGGGCTGGGTTCCATCCCAGTTCCTTCACTGGGAATGTCCCACCTCTGCCCAGTATAACCAGTATGACCAGTATGACCAGCATGCCCCAGTATGTCCCAGTATGTCCCAGTATGCCCAGTATGTCCCAGTATGCCCAGTATGCCCAGTATGTCCCAGTATGTCCCAGTATGCCCAGTATGTCCCAGTATGTCCCAGTATGTCCCAGTACCCTTCCCCCACACAGCCACAGCTCCATTGACACCTTTATTGACACCAGTATAGACCAGTACAGACCAGTACCCACTACCAGTACAGACCAGTAACAGCTCCCAGTACAGACCAGTAACAGCTCCCAGTACAGACCAGTAACGGTTAATAAATCCCAGTAACAGCTCCCAGTACAGACCAGTAACGGTTAATAAATCCCAGTAACAGCTCCCAGTACAGACCAGTAACGGTTAATAAATCCCAGTAACAGCTCCCAGTACAGACCAGTAACGGTTAATAAATCCCAGTAACAGCTCCCAGTACAGACCAGTAACGGTTAATAAATCCCAGTAACAGCTCCCAGTACAGACCAGTAACGGTTAATAAATCCCAGTAACAGCTCCCAGTACAGACCAGTAACGGTTAATAAATCCCAGTAACAGCTCCCAGTACAGACCAGTAACGGTTAATAAATCCCAGTAACAGCTCCCAGTACAGACCAGTAACGGTTAATAAATCCCAGTAACAGCTCCCAGTACAGACCAGTAACGGTTAATAAATCCCAGTAACAGCTCCCAGTACAGACCAGTAACGGTTAATAAATCCCAGTAACAGCTCCCAGTACAGACCAGTAACGGTTAATAAATCCCAGTAACAGCTCCCAGTACAGACCAGTAACGGTTAATAAATCCCAGTAACAGCTCCCAGTACAGACCAGTAACGGTTAATAAATCCCAGTAACAGCTCCCAGTACAGACCAGTAACGGTTAATAAATCCCAGTAACAGCTCCCAGTACAGACCAGTAACGGTTAATAAATCCCAGTAACAGCTCCCAGTACAGACCAGTAACGGTTAATAAATCCCAGTAACAGCTCCCAGTACAGACCAGTAACGGTTAATAAATCCCAGTAACAGCTCCCAGTACAGACCAGTAACGGTTAATAAATCCCAGTAACAGCTCCCAGTACAGACCAGTAACGGTTAATAAATCCCAGTAACAGCTCCCAGTACAGACCAGTAACGGTTAATAAATCCCAGTAACAGCTCCCAGTACAGACCAGTAACGGTTAATAAATCCCAGTAACAGCTCCCAGTACAGACCAGTAACGGTTAATAAATCCCAGTAACAGCTCCCAGTACAGACCAGTAACGGTTAATAAATCCCAGTAACAGCTCCCAGTACAGACCAGTAACGGTTAATAAATCCCAGTAACAGCTCCCAGTACAGACCAGTAACGGTTAATAAATCCCAGTAACAGCTCCCAGTACAGACCAGTAACGGTTAATAAATCCCAGTAACAGCTCCCAGTACAGACCAGTAACGGTTAATAAATCCCAGTAACAGCTCCCAGTACAGACCAGTAACGGTTAATAAATCCCAGTAACAGCTCCCAGTACAGACCAGTAACGGTTAATAAATCCCAGTAACAGCTCCCAGTACAGACCAGTAACGGTTAATAAATCCCAGTAACAGCTCCCAGTACAGACCAGTAACGGTTAATAAATCCCAGTAACAGCTCCCAGTACAGACCAGTAACGGTTAATAAATCCCAGTAACAGCTCCCAGTACAGACCAGTAACGGTTAATAAATCCCAGTAACAGCTCCCAGTACAAACCAGTAATTTTGGGGTATTTTGGGGGTGTATTTTGGGGTATTTCTGGGTGTTTCCGGGTGTTTTTGGGTTGTTTTTGGGTTGTCTCAGATGGCCACACTGTTCTTGATGTCGGGGTGTATTTTGGGGTATTTTTGGGTGTTTCTGGGTGTATTTTTTGGGTTTATTTTTGGGTTGTTTTTGGGGTTGTTTTTGGGGTGTATTTTGGGGCGTTTCTGGGTGTATTTTTGGGTTGTTTTTGGGGTGTTTCTGGGTGGTTTTGGGTTGTTTTCAGGCTGTCTCAGATGGCCACGCTGTTCTCGATGTCGGGGTGTATTTTGGGGTATTTCTGGGTGTATTTCTGGGTGTATTTGGGTTGTTTTCGGGGTGTCTCAGATGGCCACGCTGTTCTCAACGTTGGGGTGTATTTTGGGGTATTTCTGGGTGTATTACAGGTTGTTTTTGGGTGTTTCTGGGTGTACTTTTGGGTTATTTTCAGGGTGTATTTTGGGGTGGTTTTGGGTGTTTCTGGGTGTAGTTTTGGGTTGTTTTGGGGCTCTCTCAGATGGCCACGCTCTTCTTGATGTTGGGCTGTATTCTGGGTGTATTTCTGGGTGTATTTCAGGTTGTTTTTGGGTTGTTTTGGGGCTGTCTCAGACGGCCACGCTGTTCTCAACGTTGGGGTGTATTTTGGGGTATTTCTGGGTGTATTACAGGTTGGTTTTGGGTGTTTCTGGGTGGTTTTGGGTTGTTTCGGGCTGTCTCAGATGGCCACGCTGTTCTCAATGTCAGGGTGTATTTTGGGGTATTTCTGGGTGTATTTCCGGGTGTATTTGGGTTGTTTTCGGGGTGTCTCAGATGGCCACACTGTTCTCGATGTCGGGGTGTATTTTGGGGTGTATTTTGGGGTGTTTTTGGTGTATTTTTGGGGTGTATTTTGGGTTGTTTTTGGGTGTTTCTGGGTGTAGTTTTGGGTTGTTTTCAGGCTGTCTCAGATGGCCATGCTGTTCTCGATGTCAGGGTGTATTTTGGGCTATTTCTGGGTGTATTTCCGGGTGTATTTGGGTTGTTTTCGGGGTGTCTCAGATGGCCACACTGTTCTCGATGTCGGGGTGTATTTTGGGGTGTTTTTGGGTGTTTCTAGGTGTACCTTTGGGTTATTTTCAGGGCGTATTTTGGGGTGGTTTTGGGTGTTTCTGGGTGTAGTTTTGGGTTGTTTTGGGGCTCTCTCAGACGGCCACGCTCTTCTCGATGTCGGGGTGTATTCTGGGTGTATTTCTGGGTGTATTTCCGGTTGTTTTTGGGTTGTTTTGGGGCTGTCTCAGACGGCCACGCTGTTCTCAACGTTGGGGTGTATTTTGGGGTATTTCTGGGTATATTACAGGTTGGTTTTGGGTGTTTCTGGGTGGTTTTGGGTTGTTTTCAGGCTGTCTCAGATGGCCACGCTGTTCTCAATGTCAGGGTGTATTTTGGGGTATTTCTGGGTGTATTTCCGGTTGTATTTGGGTTGTTTTCGGGGTGTCTCAGATGGCCACACTGTTCTCGATGTCGGGGTGTATTTTGGGTTGTTTTTGGGTGTTTCTGGGTGTACTTTTGGGTTATTTTCAGGGTGTATTTTGGGATATTTCTGGGTGTATTACAGGTTGTTTTTGGGTGTTTCTGGGTGTTTTTGGGTTGTTTCCAGGCTGTCTCATGACCACGCCGTTCTCGACGTTGGGGTGTATTCTGGGTGTATTTCTGGGTGTATTTCGGGTGTTTCTGGGTGTATTTTTGGGTTGTTTTTGGGCTGTCTCACATGACCACGCTGTTCTCGATGTCGGGGTGTATTCTGGGTGTATTTCTGGGTGTATTTCCGGTTGTTTTTGGGTTGTTTCGGGGCTGTCTCAGATGGCCATGCTGTTCTCGATGTCGGGGTGTATTCTGGGTGTATTCCAGGTGTATTTCTGGGTGTATTTCTGGTTGTTTTGGGGTTGTTTCGGGGCTGTCTCAGATGGCCACGCTGTTCTCGATGTCGGGGTGTATTCCGGGTGTATTTCTGGGTGTATTTCCGGTTGTTTTGGGGCTGTCTCAGATGGTCACGCTGTTCTCGATGTTGGCGGGGTCCAGGTAGGGGTAGGGCCGCTCCAGGCCGCGGTTGCGGGCGCGGATTTGCCGGGAGATTCGGCGCAGGCGGCGCCGGAAGCGCCGGATCAGGCGCCGGGGGGGAGCCTCGGTGAAATGGCGCTCGGGGTAATGGCCCAGGGGACGCTGCGGGGACACGGACGGGGGGATTTGGGGAGGGGTCCCACAGGGGGTTGGTTGTTTTGGGGAGGGGTCCCAGGGGACGCTGCGGGGGCGGGGACGGGGGGTTTTGGGGGGGGGGC